AGTCAAAAAGCCCATTTCAGTCAAATCTTTATCATTGCATTAATGTGTAAGAGATTTTCTCTTACACACCATCTGTTAGGGCTCCATAAGCCCTGGCTCTCCTTAGAAAGGCAACGTGGTGAATCCTTAGTTCAAGATCTCAAAGTGCCTGTGAGCAGGTTTGGTCATTCCACTGATATGAAGGGAACAGGAAGCATGTGCCTCTCACTTCCTGCTTTTCTGCATCTTCATAGTATCCAAAATAGACAAACATTATATATAATTAACTATAATTTAATGAGAAATATCATCATAAGAAAAAACCTTTGCTTTTACACAATATTAAAGAAGGTAATCATCATCTCCATTCCTGGATTATACTTACTGAAGGATACAGCCTTTTATATAAAGGTGCTTCTAGTACTAAAGGTACTTTAATTCATATGAACATTTAGCCACAAGTCATAATCATTATGCTTTATCTTGTTTTTGTAAGTGGACCATGTTGCTCATGTTCTCTATTAAAATAGTCACTATCAGGGCTATTTTTGGGCAGGAACGCACAGAAACGGAGTTCCGGCTGGCTCCCGAGTTGGCCACGCCCAGCAGGAACTCATTAGCATAATAGGCCACACCCAACAGCAGAAACTCATTAGGATTGGCTACATTAGGGGTGTGTGGCCTAACATGCAAAGAAGTTTCTGCTACAAAAAAGCCCTGGGTTTTGACAACAAAGAAGGTAAACAGAATAAGAAGCAAACGATGGGTGTGGCTGGATGACCACACTTCTGGTAACGAGGGGTGTGTGGCCTAATATGCTAATGAGCTGTGCTGTCAGAGGTGTGGCCTAATATGCTAATTGGTTTTGCTGTTGGGTGTGGCCTATTATGCTAATGAGTTCCTGCTGGGCTTTTTCTACAAAAAAAGCCCTGGTCACTATGTAACCAGAAACATTTAGTTTTAGTTTTGTTTGGTTTTTTGGTTTTTAATTTTGTTTGTTTTGTGGAGGTTGCTGGTTTTTTTGGCTGTGGTAGTTTTGGTGGTGGGTATTTTGGTTTTTCTTCTATTATCACTTCTATTATGACCTCACTAGCTGGACTTTGGCAGGCCACTCCACCAACTGAAATATGGGGAAAATCATTTTGGCTTGCCTTACAGGGCTGTTGCATGGATTAAAACAAGATAATGTATGTGAACTACTGTTGACCCTAAAAGCGTTGTATATTTTTTACTGCTGCACTCATCATCACTGGTTTTACAGTGAAAATGCTTTCAAATGCCAAAGGAACTTTTGGAAACAAATCATGTTGGTTTACAATTGAAGGGCTATAATGGTGGTACAAGAGTTATACTTAACTTCTGCCTAGTCAGATTAAAAATCAAATGCCTGACTAACTGTCTTGCACTGCAAGTGTGATGGAATTAATTAGTTGATGTTAAAGCAACTGAGAATTACTAGAATTGCTGAATGTTAAATAAAGCAAGAGGGACACCCATGGGGCTTTATGGCAGGTTTGCAGTGCTAGAAAGGTCTTCATATAAAGACCTTTGCTGGAATGTTCTGTCCAATTGGCACTTGTCAGGTGATCATTATCTTATATGTGCATGACAGTGTGTAGGTACTGCTGACAGAAGAATAAATGCTTCGGAGCAATTCAAGTGTTGTCAGAAAACAATATAAATGTACTATGATATCTTGGCAGACTTTAATAGCATGCTAAATTGATGTTTGTCTCAAATTTCACCAACGGAAAGCTGCTCTTTAAAAAGAATTGGGAATAATTGCTGTATTGTCAATAAATATTTTAATGGCTGTTTGCAAATTGAATGTCTAAGTTAATATCTACAAATCTGCTTGCAGAAGAAACAACATGTATGCTATTGTTACATACTACATTGCCTTTGTTTGTAAATGGATTTATAGAGAAGACAAGAGCTGATGCAAACATGAACCTTCCCGAGAGCTAAGAGTTTGGGCTCAAGGGGCAAGGGTGACGTGTGATCTAAAGCTTCAGCAGCTCTTCGTAAATTGTGGGAGAGCTCATTGAGTTCAACTAGTCTCAGAATTTTGGCTTGTCTTACTTTTATTTGGGTAACTGGGGTTCTAGGTTGTCCCATGAGTTTTGTTTACAGTGACCACAGAAAGCTTGAGATGCTGTGGGGTAGAAGAAGAAGAGATTGGATTTATACCCCGCCCTTCACTTTGAATCTCAGAGTAACTTACAAACTCCTTTCCCTTCCCCTCCCCACAACAGACACCCTGTGAGGTAGGTGGGACGGAGAGAGTTCTTTCCAGAACTGTCCTTGAGAGAACAGCTCTGACAGAACCATGGCTTGGCCAAGGTTATCCAGCAGCTGCAAGTGGAGGAGTGGGGAATCAAACCCGGTTCTCCCATTTTAGAGTCTGTGCACTTAACCACTACACCAAAGTGGAGAGAATGGGCTTATTAGGCAAGAAGCTGATTGTGTTGTTAATCATGTAAAGTTGCAGGGGGGAAATTGCAGGAAAAAAATTGCGGTGAGTGTCTTGAAGGCTCGGAACAACCCTTAAACAAAACAAAAAAAACAACTCATTTTGCTGATGACTTTCCTGAAGAACCATAGTTACAGGGTTTAAAAAAAAAAGTTCCCCCCTGCCCTGGATCACATAACAACTGAAACCTCTTAACACAATTCAAATGTCAGATATTTCTTCAGAGAGATTTACTGCAACCATTTCCTCCTAGTCCAAAAGACATTGACACAGAAATGACCCTCCCAACAAATAAAGCTGGCAAGGCACTGAAGCAGCAAGAATTTTCTCGTGCATCAAGCGCTCCCTTGTAGAAAGTTTTATTCCCCTTCTTGCAATGCACAGAAATACACCTGTTTAACACTGCTCTCTTAAGATGCTTCTGTATGGAGGTTGTACTCCAGTTTAGCGTCAAGAGCGAGTTTTTTAAAGTATCTACATGATGTTGTTCCCTAACATTGTCCACATTTCCCCTGGCTTTGCTATGGTTTTCCCCAAACCTGATTTGACACAACCTTTTGGAAAGATTATAGTCAATGAGCCCTTTGCATGCTGTGTGAAAGAGAAGAGGAGCAAGCTGGTTTCCAAGCTGTGATTTGGAATAGCTACAGCCTGCTCAGGTCTGTCAGCAGTTCAAGTGGAGATGGGAGAATGCTTGTGTACCCATGTCTGCATTGCTTTTCCTCTTCCTAGATTCAGCACAGTACATGGAGTTGGTGGTATAGATAACACATTTCCATTGCCTTCTGAGGGAGCTCTGTTGTGCTTGAGGCTCGGTTGGTCTATGAGCTGTTGGGGGAGTGAAAGCCACGTGTGCTGTTGCCATCACTGAGCTCAGCAAAGAGAAGCAGAGATAAGACAGGGGGAAAGAATTTGTGGCAAGGTAATGGAGAAAGAGGGGAGTGTACCTGAAGGTAGGATTAAGGGGGTCTGGTAGTGCAGAAAGAGTGATTTGGGGTATATAGAGGGGGAAAGAGGTAACACAGAGATGGGTGCAGATATACCTGTGGGATCAAGAAGTGGGAAAAGGGGGGGTTGAGAAGCACAGGGATAGAAACACCTGCGTGGTAAGGAAACAGAGGGAGCAGTATCTGTATTCCTCATTGGCTTTTGATTACCTTTCTGAGGCTTGTGACACGACTCAGTTACTGGGGGTGGAGGTAGTTATAGGGTAAATGAGAGAAGCAAAATTATATATGTAATTATGTTAAAAGTGTCACAAAAGGTTTCTGCGTGGTTAGTCTGGTGGTGCAGCCCTCTTAAGTTAATGTACACATATCAAAATGGCACTCAAGAGTTATTTGTGTTGTAGACCCCTGCTCTAGGGCAGCCTTTTGGATAGCATCTCAGCTACTCCAGCACCACAGACTCATCCTGAGCCAGCTGGGCAGCAGTAGAGGAGGGAGGCAAGAGTGAGGGCTTCTGTGGATGTGATAAGGAGAATGTATGCAGTGTCCTGTAGATGCTCCTGACATATGCTGTTGTCAAGGTCTGAAAGAAGTTCAGATAAATTAGGGCCAACCACGAGAGTACAAGGCATCCACATGTAAATATTCATATGTCTCCCCATTCATGTACAAATGGATAGTGTGGTTCTTTTTTCTAATATAAAACACCTTTTCCCCCAGCCCACGTTCAGTACTGGAAATAAAATGGATTGAGAAGGAGGGTGTTCCAAGCAGTGGAGTTTAGCAGCAGAAGAGAATTTCAGCAGCACCCCTCACATATATGCTTTTTTGTGTTAAAAAAAAAGACCCTCCCCACTTTATTTGTGAACAAGACAGAAATGTAAATAAAATGCACATGGCTGCCCTGTGATGTCTAGTTTGGGCTTTACCTTTTTGCTCAGGAATCAGGTAAAGGAAGCTATTATTAGAGAAATTCAAAAGGGGTGGGTGGGTGTATGTGTGTCTGTGTATATATCACTGTAAGCTGCCTTGAAGATCAGTTGACTGAAGGGGGAGGTATAAGTCTTCAGAATAAATAAATACACTGCTAACTAGTTACAGGAGATAAACTGCAATAAATAAAATGATCAGTTAACACACAAAATATTGACCTGGTTTGAAGATTCTGCTGTTCAACCAGTCTCTCACCTGCTGCTCTGAAACTACTGTGTCCTACTCAACATGTAGCCAAGGTTGTGATCCACTAAGGAACACTTGTGAAAGTTCTTAATAGTTTTTGGGTTTTTTCCAGAGCTATTCCAGCTGAAATCTTTTTCCCCCTTCCCGTTTCTTTCACTTTCTTCCTTTTTCTTCCCCTCTTGCTCTCCTCCTCTCAACAGAATCTTTTCACTCCTCCCACCCTTCTTGTCAATCGCAATGGAGTTTTCGTGGTTTGTGTGTGCAGTTCACCCCAAGCAATCTGTTCCAACAGGAATTCATGCTAATTCCACCCCCCAAAACCCTCTTAAAGTAGTGTTTCTAATACGTTTTTCTCTTAGCTTTATTAAGATCAAAACTTGTTTAATAGCTTCTGTTGTACTTTTCCCCACTTTCCTCCTCAGAACATTCCTACTTTGGGAAGTGTAGCAATAACCATGGTACTCCACAATTGTGATGAAGTAGCAGTGGCTGGATTTGGTTATGATATGAACTCTCCAAACGCACCATTGCATTACTATGAGAACATCAAGATGTCTGCTATCAAAGAGGTAAGGAACTTTGTGTTCAGTAAGCATTATCTGTGGTAAACGAAAGCCTGATAGGTTGATAAACCTTCATGTTCAGAAGCATTATACCTCTGAATGCCAAGTGTCACGGGACAAACGTGGACAAGGGCTGTTGCCTTCATGAGTCATTTATAGATGTAGAATCAGCTGCTTTGGGAAACAGGATGCAGAACTAAATGAACCTTTGGTCTGATGCCACAATGCTGTTCTTACATCACACAAAATAATTCACTAGTGGCCCCCACTACATGGAGGGAACTAACCAAGTACACAAAGCAACTCCAGCAACACTTGTATAGAGGACTTGAGATGCCAGTTCAAATTGTGTAGGCATGTATTTTGTGTGACTGGGGGACTTATTTGCAGTATAGTTCTGTGTCTCTTTGATCTGATGACAAGCACCACAAAGAAGCAGGTATTGGAACATAAGGTCTAGAGCGCAGGTGTCCCCAACATGGAGCCCATGGGTGCCATTGTGCCCACAGACACCTTTCCTGGCGCCCACCAAGTGATTTTAGAAAGTGGGTGGGGCCAGGTGGGGCAGTTGCCCAGCAGGGCTTCTGATCAGCCCCTGGAGATCTGATTGGCTGGATAGATTAAAAGAACATTGTTTCAGTGGCAGCTGCCACCACAGTGTCACTTTTATTCTTTCTCACTGCTCTTTCCCAGTGTATTTTTGTCTTCCTCTGGGCATAGAGCTGGGGGAGGTAGTTGTGCATTTCCTGCATTGTGCAGGAGGTTGGACTAGATGACCCTAAGGACCAGCTCTATGTTTCTTTTAAAAAATGATCTCTTCTCCCCTATACTTGGGCTCCCTCTGTGCACATGGCTCCTCCTGTGGCGGCTGTTTTGTGGTTGTGGTGACCATCCTGTGTCAGCATTCCAGGCTCAAAAAGGTTGGGGATGCCTGATATAGAGTGTGTGATACTACAAATCAGAGCTGGTTTTAAACCATTTAACTTACATGGCTTTCCCAGAACAACAGTGGAAACTGTAGTTTTGTGAGGTTACTGAGAATGCTCTGTTAGAGGTCTTTAGATCTCTCTTGAAGGAAAACTGCAGCAGTTTATACTACATGTTTATATTGGTATGATATACACAAGAGTTCTAAAAGACGAAGATATGTTTTCCAAAGGAAGGATAGAGGGGGGATAGAACTCAGATGAGGGGTTGTTTTTTGAGCAAAGATAGTTAAAAACTACTCAAGTAAAATCTTGCATATAATAAAGTAGGTCCCCCCCCCCATGAAAGCTCATCTCATACTAAATAACCCTTTTATGATCACACCATTTATTGCTTTCACCTCAGGAAAATAACATGGCTGTGTTTTTTAACTAAATCATAAATCCTGGTTTTCCAAAACATGCCAGTCACCACTATACATTCAAGGGGGCAGAATGTCCAGTGATTCTGAAGACAGTAGGGTAGTATTTTGTTCTCCTTCACTACCAGTCTGTTCCGCATCTGAACTTTTTGTTGTTGCTATCTATCTAGTACACTTCTACCTTTGCCCTTCCTCCTAGGAGCTCAGGGTGGTTGTTCCTTCCCCACATGTGCCCCTCCTTAACTTTCCAAAAGGCCAGTCTTCAGGAGGGTGCACCAATTAAGCGTTCTGCCACTCTACACTGCCTAAGAGTAGAATTTGTGGAGAGTGCTACAGGATTTTATTTATTTTATTTGTTTCTTGGATTTCTACCCTGCCCTCCCAGCCAAAGCTGGCTCAAGGCTGCTTACAAAAAAACAGGTAAATTACATAAATTAAATATGTTACATTAAAACATGAATTACAGTTAAAACAATTCAACCATAAAAGTGCTAGTAGTCGCTGTTGTCAGTTTGGTGGTGGCAACCATTATTCAAAGTTCTTAGCTCACAGTCGGCTCACCATCTTCATTTTAAGTTGTCCTTGCCAGAATTGATGTCCTTTGGGCTGTTGATGAAAATTCCAGGAATCCAGGGCCCTCTCTCATTCTGTTGTTAATTGCTAGCTATTGATGATGGTGGTGGCACCCGAAAGCCTGGTGGAAGAGCTCTGTTTTACAGGCCCCGCGGAACTGTAAAAGGTCCCGCAGACCTTGGTCTCCTCCGGGAGCTCATTTCACCAGAGCAGGGCCACCACTAAGAATGCCCTAGTCCTGGTTGTCGACAGCCTAGCCTCAAGACTCAGGAGGGCCAGCCAGTTCCGAGCCCCTGATCACAGTGCTCTCTGGGGAACATGTGGGGAAAGGCGGTCCTTCAGGTATGTCAGTCATTGACCATATAGAGCTTTAAAGGTAAGAACCAGCACCTTGAAATGAATACGGTATGCTATCGGCAGCCAGTGCAATGCCTTTAGCACAGGCTGTATGTGCTCCCGTATAGAGAGCCCCATCAGGAGCCTGGCCATGGCATTTTGCACCAGCTGCAGCTTCCGGATTTGAGACAAGGGCAGCCCCATGTAGAGGGCATTATAGCAGTCCAATCTCAAGGTGACCATCACATGGGTCACTGTGGCCAAGTCGTTGCATTTGAGGAAGGGAACCAACTTCCTAATCAGCCAGAGGTGGTAAAAGGCTGATTTGGCAGTGGCTGCTACCTGGGCCTCCATTGTTAGTGAGGCATCCACGAGCACTCCCAAGCCCCTAACTTCTGGCGTTGGCACCAATGGTGCCCCATTGAAGGTCAGAAATTGTGCTGTCTTGGCTGGCTGACACAGAGACCACACACTGGAAGCTTGTAAACACAGTCTGGAATCAAGGTCAGTCACAGAGCCGAAAGTCAAGAGCGGGAAGTCAATTCAAGGTTGCAAGGACAAGGAGCAGCTGCTACACACACACAGGAGCAGGTCTTGAGTGAGCAAAGTTGCTGCCACATTGAACCAGGTGCACTGAATGCTTTTGAACAGTTCCTTCCTTCCCTGGGGTTGAGTTGCAGAGGCTTACAGCTCTTCCCCCTGCCTCTGCAGGAGCTGCAGCCTGGCACTTCTTCTTCGCTCCTGCATACTCAACCTCTGGCATGCCCTATGTCTGGGGCACTCAGGAGAACTAGGCAGGGAGTCTGGCCTTGGGGTGTCTGCAACTGGGGGTGCTGGGCCAGACTCAGGATCAACCTCTCCTTCTGGTTGCACCTCCTGTTCAGCTGCTGGAGACACTTCCTCCTCAGGTATTCCTGAGGGTTCTTCTTCTGGGCTGACTCCAGAGGAGGCTGGGTTGCTCCCTGCTTCTTCCTCATCTGAGGAGTAGTCAGCCTCAGCAGACCTAGTACCCATGACAGAAGTAGGATCCCTACCCTTGGGCCGCCCCGGCTCAGGCACAGGACTTCCGTCTTCATCAGAGCCAACCAGCCACAGCTTGCAACACCTGGTCCAGATCTTCCGGTGTAGAGTCAGACTGGCTGTCCAACAACAGATAGAGCTGGGTGTCATCCGCATACTGGTAACATCCCAGCCCATGCCTCCGGGCAATCTGGGGAAGGGGGTGCATATAGATGCTAAAAAGCATCGGAGACAGCACCACCCCTTGGGGCACTCCACAAATCAGTGGGTGCCTTTGGGATAGCTGCTCCCCTAGCGCCACCCTTTGTCCCTGACCCTGAAGGAAGGAAGCCAGCCATTGCAAGGCAGGCCCCTGGACTCCAGTTTCGGTGAGGTGGTGGATCAGTAACTGATGGTCGACCATGTTGAATGCTGCCGACAGGTCCAACAGCAACATCACTGCCAATCCGCCCCAATCCAGATGCCTCTGAAGGTCATCCATGAGGGTGACCAGTGCTGTCTCCATCCCATGACCTGGGCAAAAGCTGGACTGGAAGGGATCTAGAATGGAAGCATCATCCAAAAAGCCCTGTAACTGAATCACCACTGCCCTCTCTTTTATCTTACCCAAATAGGGCAAGTTGGAAACTGGGTCCAAGGATGGCTTTTTCAAGAGAAGGCAGACCACTGCTTCCTTAAGTGCCTCCAGGAACAGTCCCACCAAGAGGGACTTGTTAATAATCTCCCGCAAGGCACCTCAAAACCCCTCGTGGCCAGCTTTAATTAGCCACGAAGGGCACGGATCAAGGGAGCAAGTGGTAGGTTGTACAGTTAGGAGCAATTTGTTGACTTCCTCTAGGCTGAGAGACCGAAACGATCCGTAACTTGACCAGAAGACGTGTATGGAGCCTCAAGCTCACTCACTGTATCAACTGTAGCGGGGAGGTTGTGGCAGAGCAACAAGACTTTATCTGCAAAATAGCTCGCAAAAGCCTCACAGCCAATAGCCAAGTCCTTAACGTTTGGTTTGCCTTGCGGCAAAGCAGCAATAGACCAATCGCAGCCGTATAGTACTCTCTCTTTGTGGCTTTGATTGCCACCTTGTAGGTTCTCATAAACATTCTATAAGATGTTTTTGTAGCTTCGTTGTGAGCACGCTGCCACTGTCTAACTGTCTCAGCCCTCGCTTCATCAGCCACAGCTCCTGGGTAAACCATGGAACAAGCCTAGAGCAAGGGCGCAGAGGGCATTGGGGAGCAATCTCGTCAATGGCTGTCAAGAGTCGGTTATGCCAGTCCTCTACAAGCTCATCTACCGAGCTCCTAGTGGGCATCGGATCCCAGAGAGCCATCTGAAGCCGCATTGGGTCCATTTGGCTCGACGGGCAAGCCAAAATAGGCTCGCTGCCCAAACAGAGTCAAGGTGACATATTCAGATGGGTCTTCATGGCAAAGTGGCCCAACCATGGCACTGCTAAAGCAGTAATCTGGTCCACTGCAACCCCTGCCGCAAAGAAGAAGAAGAAGAAGAGATTGGATTTATACCCCGCCCTTCAATACCCAAAGGTGTCTCAGAGCGCCTTACAAACTCCTTTCCCTCCCCCTCCCCACAACAGACACCCTGTGAGGTAGGTGGGGCTGAGAGAGCTCTGACAGAAACTGCTCTTTTTCAAGAACAGCTGTGCCAGAACTATGGTTTGCCCAAGGACATCCAGCAGGTGCAGGTGGAAGCGTGGGGAATCAAACCCAGT